TATAACCTTGACCTTTTTTCTGATTTGAGTGATCCACATATCTGTCAAGCTAGCTAATGATAATGCGTGAATTCTTGATAAAATGCAGTTGTATTACGGGCTGTTGGCATAAAATCAAAAATCACGCCTCTCCACTCCTCACTCCTCTCCCACTCCACTCTGCTCACATACTCTGGAATCAACATTAAAAGTATAGTTCATTCAAAAATTTAAACATAATTTACTCACCCTCAGGTCATTTCAAACACTTAAGACTTTTGTTCATCTCCAGAAAACAAATGAAAATGTCTTTAATATTAATTTTTCTCATTTAACTTTAATATTCATTTATCATTTTTCTCTATCCATTGAAAGTACACGCAACCAAAATTTTCAAGCTTTAAAAGTTAATAAAGACATCATAAATATAATCCATTTGAATCAAGCAATTTAATCCAAGTCTTCTGATGATCGCATTTTGATGAACAGATTTAATTTAGGCTTTTATTCACATATATGAACACACATACATACAGCAGATCAAATATGGTAAATGGACCCTCAAACTTGCTTGCTTGATGTGTGAGAACCAATGAGGTTTGTTCTCGCGCATCAAGCATGTACAATTGAGCTTCTGCTTACTATATTGGATTGTCATTTTTTGTCTCCTTTTTGCAACAGTTTTGATAATATAAAAACCTTAAAACAATATTTCAGTATTTTAATATGTAATTATTAGGTAACACTTTACAATAAGGTTCATTAGTTAACATTAGTTAACTAATACTGTTAATAAATACTGTAATAAATGTATTGTTCATTGTTTGTTCATGTTAGTTAATACATTAACATTAACTAATGGAACCTTACTGTAAAGTGTTACCAATTATTATATAATTAATTATTATATAATTTTCACTATTTACAATGGGAAAATATTGCACAAAAATATATATATAGATAGGCTGAAAGAGAGATTGAGTGAAGGGTGGATACATTTTGTAGAAAACACTGGAATGAGATATAGTAATAATCAGGGTCGGCGCCAGAGCGCACAAAGTGAGGGGGCACAATTTTTTGGGGGCTGCTTTGAAAAAAAAATGTTTCTGAAAGTAATTTTCAGATGCAACGGGGGAAAAAACGGGATAAGCACAAACATGAAACTTGTAAATAAAATAATCTGATATATAGCCTATGTACAATTTAATAACATATAGCCTAGTTTGATATATGAATTGGGTGTTCGTCAAAGATTGCATGCGGTCGGAGATTCCCGTGTTTACAGCTCCATAAAACCTCACCGACTAAAATCAGGGCGCCCACTACGGAGACGGCACCAGAGGTGAGGGGGCACAGTGACTGAGGTGGCCGGGCCGGGCCCCCTCAGCCCCCCCCGTGGCGCCGACGCTGGTAATAATGATGCATGCCTTAGCAAGCACCAGTCATAACTACCCCCACTGACTTTAGGCATGAAAAAAATGTTAAAAATGTATTTCTCAGTACTACTATGTGTACTTTGCCATAAGATTATTTGTTGGTATGTACACCACAGTATGCTCTTGGAGTTTTTTTTTTTTTTTTTTTTTTTTACAAGACTTTAGGAGAAATATATATACAGCTGCGTTTCCAATGCTTAGACAGGAATTTGTCGGCTGGTCGTACCTCACATGAGAGCCCTTGACCACAGTGACATCCCTAGTCTGACTGGACCACCATCGCTGGGACAGAATCTAGCAAGTATGCACATTAAGTCTTCAGCATTCTGAACATAACGTCTTAAGATGTACATGAATTAAGCACTGTGTTTCTTAATGACTGGGTGGCGGCGTGGGTTACAAAGTTCTAAGAAGAACAAGCTATTTTTTATTCCCCTGTCCCACAATGTTTGCCAGGTCTATTATCTTTCCTTCACACGGTCTGATTGCTAAGTGACGGTTGTGCCTAAAATTGCACCTTGTGCTGCTGTAACACAATAAGGCTGTTGAGTCCTGGACACACAGTGCACAGAAAGGACAATGAAGACTGTGCTATCAGAGAACCGACGCACTCCAGCTTGTAAAGTGGGAGATAGCTTACAGCTAGACAGCAAAACATGGTAGGTTGAGGTAACCAGTTTAACAACACCCTCATGGGAGCTAATCTCCGAGAGCCTGATATTATCAGACAGACAGGCTGAGGCCATGAAGCGTGGGGAAGAAGGGAGACAGCCTCTCTCACAGTGATGCAAGGCTTTGGGAAGAGAAAGAGGGGGTGAGGAGTGTTGACAGAGGTGTGTATGTGCATGTGTTTGTTTAAATGGAGAGATGGGAGTCACAAAAACGTTTCCCACCCACGTAAAATTGGCAAACGCTTTAGCACTGACTATCAAGGTAATTCTGCAGATAAGAGCACATTAAGATTCTTGATCGTGGCAGACAAAAGATGACAGATTGTGTGAATGCCTTAGAGGTGTCAGATAGGCGCTAAACAGAGGTTGTTTAATTTACAGTGAGTACTCTGGACATTTAGCCTGTGAGTCACAGCCTATGAGTTTCTCTCATGTCTCCAGAGTGTCTCTGACTGAGGGAATGAAGAAAAGAGGTGAAAAGCAAATGCACACCTACATCCCAGACACATCCGGGACTGAAAGACTCCAGCAGCCTCCACCATGTCTAATTCAGCCAGTTTTTGCTTTTTTTCTTCTTCTTTCTGGCTATGGCTACATTCACACTGTTAGTGTTTTGGAATCGCCTTTACCTAGAAGTGTGTCTCGAAATGTCATGTTCACGCGGAATAAAAATCTCAAAGCATTATTAATGCAAATGCAGTGTAAATGCATTCAAGCCACCTCTGAGCTGCATTAAACAGTCTGTGTAACAACATCTAAATTCCACTGGGTTTTTTTTCACATTTGCTGGCACAGTCATTCTTAATATCTGATGTGAGCAGGCCAGAGAGTGCTGGAGCAAGTAAAAGTGCAGCGGTAAAATGCATTTGATCTCTCAGTCACCAAACACACAGACATCAGATCTCTCAGAGCTGGCCTGCACACAACTCTGCCCAATACAATGAGGACGGGCCAGGTGAGAGACTTCAGAGACACCGACTTCCCTTTCAAGTGTATGAGAATCTCATCACATCTGCATGGCAGGACAAGAGGCAAAGGAGAATTGCCATCCAATCCAGAAGAGAGGAAGAATGTGTACATTTGGGATGGGCAGCCCTTCTGAGGTATGGCGGGACAGGAAATGGTGCGGCACAGTAGAGAAAGTTCAGTCAGGAACAACCAGATGCAACATCAATGAACAAACCCACCATCTGCTTCTATTAATACACCAGTTTGGCACAAAGAGAGAAGGGTGGGGGAGAGAACGCAGACCTGCTGTAAAAGTCTGTTTGCTTTTAGACCTTGGCTATTGAATGAGACAATCTGGCATGAAATTCTGGTAAAAATGGGTTGAGGGTGTGTGTGCACCTTGAAGTGGCCTCAACTGGCATTTTGTAGCATATACAAAATGCTACTTCTACTGTAAGTTTGTTCCAAAAGCAGAGGCTCCACCCATGCATGGATTATTCATCCATGCATGTTTTTATTGATATATTTATTTTACTTAGTCATTTTTAATACGTCATAACTCAATCTTTTTGTGAAATGACAGACTTCTCTCTGGAGACATACTGTATGCCAAACTTCTCCAATTACTTTGTCCGCTTAAACTTTTCGACAGCAATCGATGGCAAGCTCACATTCAAATGTAGTACATCTGGATTTCATTCATACTATCCATATTTATACTATATAGATAATTTTTTATAACGTTTTTCTTTTTTTAATGGTCCCAAAGTAAGGTTCAAACCAAATTCAGTGCTATGACTATGTAGTATGTGATTTCAGATGCAGCTAAGAAGTTTCTAGTATCCTGAAGACCTTGAAGACCTTTAATTTTATGAAAGCTTCAAGTGCAGTTAATTATTTGTACGTGCATACAGACGATGGCAGTGTTGAAGCTCTTTTACTTGCCGTCAAACGGTTGAGCACTGCCGAGTGTGTATCCTGTCGCAAAATGTGGCGAAAAGTCCTACACGACGTAATAATGTGATTAAGGTGTTTACACGTCTATACGGCACTTCAGTAATGTGACTAAAATAGGAATACTCCACATGTCTTAATTCGATTTCTGTTTACTTCGATATCCATATTTATACTATATAGATAATTTTTTATAACGTTTTTCTTTTTTTAATGGTCCCAAAGTAAGGTTCAAACCAAATTCAGTGCTATGACTATGTAGTATGTGATTTCAGATGCAGCTAAGAAGTTTCTAGTATCCTGAAGACCTTGAAGACCTTTAATTTTATGAAAGCTTCAAGTGCAGTTAATTATTTGAACGTGCATACAGACGATGGCAGTGTTGAAGCTCTTTTACTTGCCGTCAAACGGTTGAGCACTGCCGAGTGTGTATCCTGTCGCAAAATGTGGCGAAAAGTCCTACACGACGTAATAATGTGATTAAGGTGTTTACACGTCTATACGGCACTTCAGTAATGTGACTAAAATAGGAATACTCCCCATGTCTTAATTCGATTTCTGTTTACTTCGAATATGACTTTAGCCAGATTAAGGTAATCAAAAATCTCTGTTTACATGGTAGATTCTTAATCAGAGTATTGTCTTAATCGGATTAAAATCGGATTATTGTTGTCCATGTAAACATACTCAATGATAAATACAGGTGTAAACAGGGTCTAAAATGTTTTGAGCTGGTCCACTTTCAACCACTTCCAGAGGTAGTCGAAAACACATTCAACTGGACTGCTACATGGTTGAAAGATTTCTAACAGCCACAAAAGGCCACCAACTCGACCTAACTTGTGAGTGATCTGAGCATTTTGAGAAAGCACACAAAAATAATTGATTCAAACTTCACTATATTGTGCCAAAACATCTGATTGAAATCAGCGATACCATTCATCTCCTTTCCATTCGCTTCCTTTACTGTTCACTCATAAGCAGCGTAATGGCTTCATTCATTCAGTCTTACCTGTGCCCTGAACTCGGCACTCCCACAAAAGTGATGTAAAGTGTGATGAAATAAGAGGGGAGGGTCTAGACAAAATCCGAACACAAGTGGCCACAGGAGACGCCTTTAAAAGGCACATTAAGACCAGGTGTGAACGGTAATATGTCACAGCTGACCACTTACGATCAGAACACTGAAATCATCTTAATACAGGTGAAAACAGGGCCATTATGGTAGGTACACCAAATGGGACAGCAAAAAAAAAAAAAAAATCCAGGAACATGCAACTGCTGAAACTGACTCAGAGATTATTTGTGTTATTTTGTGGCATCAGCAGCTTTTATCCTCACTGTGACTGTGTTAAGTGCACTGACAAAGAGACAAACATTTTAAACCACTCGGCATCTTCAGAGCTGCTGGTGGCCTATCACCTTTTCTTCACCCTACTGTCATGTTATGTATACAGTAAGTGCATCTTTGAGGAGATGAAAGAGGACAGGTGAGTCATGCGGAGGTCATCTTTTATGACAGTGTGCATGTTCACCTTCGCTGAAAGCCTGTATGAGCAGATCACGATACAGCTTTTGTTTGGGTCTTAGGTGTTTTATCGTGGAGTGGGGTTTGATCGGGGCTCTGTGTGTGGTGAGAAAATAGAAAGGCTTTCTTTTGTCTCCATACAAACAGAACATGCACTATGGAGCACTGACTCACCTTTAAACCTGATAACACATACCAGACATGAAGACGAGCAGTCTGTCTGGGCCCTGTTTGTTCTTCAAAAATGCACAACAGACACTTTGAGTCATTTCACGGTTCATGCTATCAAAGTGGATCCTTATATTCTGTGATCTCTGCATGCAGACAATAGGGAAGTTGTGGTTGCATGTGTGCTTCAGTATTAAAAATACGAGAAGGATTGCGTTAAGATTACCGATTAAGATGACAGTAGCACATATAAGGATTTCAGTTCCTCAAAATCTCACTCATTGACCTGGCGAGAAAATGCTGCATTGGTGAACTCTGCTTGTGAGTTCTACATTTATGGCAGCAGAAGAATCTCTGAATCCCAGTCAAGTACTCCACTGCTGAGAAACAACACTCATGTATGTATGCAAGTATGGAAAAAATGCAAACCTAGAATAAATAAAAATCACTACATTGAAAATGAAAGAAAAATAAGTTTTTCAAATAAAAAATAATTAACATCCTCATTGGCTCTTTGAAAACATTTGAATTCACCATTTCAAGACTGGTTATGACACGGTTTAAGGCATGAATATGAATTAGAATATGCACAAGTGTAAATGCTACAGCTCAAACAGGCGAAGATTTTCATCAAATAATTTACATTTTGGTCTTTTAAAGTGCATGCATGTCGGGATGACCATAATTATGAGATTCCGACTTGTAACAAACCTTCATGTCCTCATAGAATTCATAATTATTATTTGAAAACTCACAAGATTTTGACCACAAAAATTTGCAAAACAATGGTAAATGTGCCCATACATTTAGCTGTTAAGCTGTTGTATGACCTATTTTATGTTAATTTCTTAACATAAGAAACTTCATGTTACTCTTTTTGTAACATAACTTTGTTCATTTTTGAGCTCAACAGCTCCTGTCCCTATTCACTTTGATTGTATGGAAGGAGCAAAGTGCATGGAAGAAAGATCTGGAATGACAAGAGGGTAAGTAAATTATATTTTATATTTTTTTAAATATTTTATATTTGGGTCAGCTATCCCTTTAATTCGAGCTTCAAAAAAACCACACCACTGTCATTTACTGGAACATGCTACTAGATAGTTGCGTAAAGACTCTGTGAAAGAGCCACTGAGTATCTGGAGTATTTCATGTTAAACTGCTCAACCCCGTGTTTCTTGCTAAACAACAGTACAGACGCACAACTCTGACGTACAACGCTCCAAGTGAGCAGGAGGGGATGTCATCATTTCTCAGCAGCATTAATGTGAGTGAGGGACAGAGTAACAGAGGCTCCCCGGCAAGTCATGCAGGAAAGCTGCAAAAGGAAGAGCGTGTATCTTACGCTTGAGCAGAGTGGTTTGGCTACAGTACCCTCCCCAGGGTCAACAGAGGAGGGGCTGATGCTGACAAGAGCTCAATCCCATTTTTCCCTTCACACATCACTTCCTGGAGCCCTGAGCTCTGGGTTAGACTATTTTTGTGCTGTTCGAGCAAACACATTTAGGTCCTGCCAATGAATCCATTCTAAGTCTAGGGTCTAGGCCAGACTGAGCTCATTTCACAAGAATCCAAGGAAATAAACACAATAACAGGGCTTAAAGTTCTCCGGCACCATGCAGGATCTCCGGCCTGCAGCGTTTGGCTGCGGAAAAAATAATCCTACATTTAAAAAAAAACTTGTTGATATCACTTTCGAGTCCATGAGTTCGCCTACCAATGGTATGAGAGGAGCACAGCTTTCACTCTCAACCAAACTAACATTACTAGCCAAGCAGAATTTTTTGCTCTTATAAACACGAGATGCGTCTAATAGTGTCCAACTGCAGAGTTGCAGCCCTGATGAATGGAGAAGCGCGACACATTGAAAAAGCTGCGAGGCGCAATGCTCAAAGATGTCCATCTAGCGCATATTTACATAGAAAAACGAATTAAGTAAAACGTCACCAGGCCGTTGGCGCCCTCTGCAGGTATTTGTTATAATACACAATGTACTTAAGTTGGTCATGTTCATATTATGTATGGCATATTACATTATGTATTTTAACAGTGTTGTTCAATAAATCCATGTAATTACTTGGTTTTGATACTTTATTTGAGCCAATTATTATTGCCTCATTGTTAGTTTATACATAAATAGTCATACTAAAGCCTGGTTTTCACTTGTCTATTTGTGTTACTAAAAAATATCAGATTACTCAGTTGTCAAAATAATCAGTAGATTACTTGATTACCAAAATAATCATTAGTTACAGCCCTATATTAGTTAAAATATTTCAAAATACAACTGCATTGTTTTACTTTTTGTAATTAAAAGACAAATATTTTGTCATTCGAAAATTTCTTAAATTGTCTCGTTCTAGTGAACC